CTATCTATCTATCTATCTATGCTTCCTTGCAATCTTTCCCACTCTGCCTCCCAGCAGCAGAGTTTGCGTCTCCCCAGCACAAATGTGTCAGCTGGAAGTGTCTCGGCACTGACTCCCCTGCCACCGGAGCTGCGGGAGCTGCTGCGGCAGCGTCTGGGGGCGCTGGAGACCCAGCTCCTCCGGAAGGTGGCTGAGTTGGAGGAGGAGAAGAGCCAGCTCTACAATGAAACAGCGGCCCACCGCCAACGCACCGAGAGCACTCTCAATTCCCTCCTGGAGAGGATCACCGAGCTTGAGAAAAGTAAGTGATACAATGGGTGCTGTGAAATGTTGGCCATATTTAATGCCAGTTTTTTTTTTTTGTCTGCCAGATTTAGCACTAATTAGTCAATATCTGTGCAAATTTCTGATGATGCAAGGAAAAACCTCACAACACAGTTTTTCTCAGAGCCATTCTCGGAGCAACTCCTGGTCTTGAAAATAAGGCTTGGGAAGCAACACTGAATGCTTAATTAGTTTCAGAAATATTGGAGGGATGTCCACACTCCAGGGCATCACTTTGATGGTAGGCGTCAAAATAACACAAAATATCTTTGCCCAAAGGAAATTATTTTAGAAGATTATCTCAACACTCACTGGACATTTCCTGTAGGCCCATCAGTCGATCACGTCAGTGGCTGTTTGACGATACAAGGTTTAGCCAAAGATTTAAAGGAGGTGGACACAACAGCACGTCCACCTGTAGATTATAAGCTGTCCATGCAATAGCCCCACAATAAATATTACATTTGTGAGCCTTATTAAGTTCAATTTACATCAAGATTGTGCCAGAGAGGTGTTCATTTAGCGACATTTTCTTTTGAGGCTGAGATGTGTGGTGTTGGTTTGTCAGGTGGAAATGTGAGGCTTTTTCCACAAATTACATCCCTACAATGAGTTTGTGACATGCTTTTGTTGTCTCCCTGGTCTGGGCTTACAATAAAGAAAACTGGGATATGAGTCCAGTCTCCCTATGATCCTCAGAAGTTTCAGCCCAAGCTTGTAGAGGAACAGCATGAGGAGCTCAGAGATAGTGGCAGAAGACATTTTTTATTTACACAATATTCTTTCTTTTTCTTCTTTTGTGTTGAGTTGTGGTTCAGTGGTTTGACGGGTTCTTTATGGACCCTGCTTCCAACATGAGACCATATTGTGAGCCTTTCATTCAGTGTTACAGCTGCACAATATAGTCACAGAAATGGTGATTTGAAGCTAAGCCTCAAATACTCCAGATAAAATTTTGGTTCAGTCCCATTTAAAATATGCAACATCCTTGGTGTATACCCACTGCAAAGTAGTGTGTGTGTGTGTGTGTTTGTGTGTGTGGTTTTGTAACTCCTTTTCTGCTGTTTTATTTTAATTTTCTCTTCAAATTTTCAGTAAACTTCTCTTTCTCTCTCAGTCGTCCTTCTTGATCTTGCATGATCTATCACCCGTGTTTACCCACATCTGACCCAGTATGAAACCCCTAAGTGACCTTAAGCACTAACATGGAAGCCTGAAAGTAATAAACGTAATAGGTTTATATTTTTAGCCATGCTAGCGGCATGGCTCCAGGGATGTCTGTCCGTCTGCCTTTTTCCCAGCAGCCATTTTGACATGAAATAGTAGGGTAAACACAGGTTTTAACAATTATACTAATTAAGACTTCATTCCATTCAGGTCAAACGGAGTCAGGGTATTGCTATTGTGCATGTTGGCTCGCTGAAAAAGGCTCGGCTACACTAAATGGAATGGCCCCTTAATTAATATCATTGTTAACACCTGTATTTACCTTATTATTAGCTGTGAAAAAGGTCTGTTGAAGGGATTGCTGTGACATTTGCCACACATATTCAAGTTCCTTAGAGGATCATTCCTAATGACTTTGGTGACTCTGACTTTTCCTCTAATACTACCATGAGGTTGACATGGACTATTGAATGGGTTGCCATGACAATTGGTACAAGCCTTCATGGTCCTCAGAAGATGAATTGTAATAACTTTTATCCCCTGACCTTTCATCTAGCACCATCATCAAGTCAAGTTTAAAATCGAATCCAGTACTCTGGTTTATGACCAAATACCTGTTAAACTAACGGCATCTTATCAGCCTCAGTTGTACTTTGTGTTAAGCACTAATTAGCTAATTTTAGCAATGCCAGTACACTCAACTAAGATGGGGGAACATGATAAACCTGCTAAATATCAACATGCTAGCATTATCAGCATGTTAGCATCCTCATGTGAGCATTTAGCTGAAAGTACTACTGTGCCTAAGCACAGCCTCACTGAGCTGCTAGCATGGCTAGCTGATATGGCACATTGGTTTCTCCTCTTGCAGATGACAGACTGGTTAACAGAATTACTTTCATATACTAGCCGACAGTTAAAAATGACCTTTTTTTTCACTGGCTCAAAACTGATTGGAATTCTCATCTGAAGTGCCATCCCGTTATCCTTACCTCTTTCACTCACACAATCATGTGTATCATAGGTATCATATAAAACTAGGTGACCTAATGCATCCATTGGCACTGCTAGCATCTCAGGAATGGACCCTGGACCTTCCAAAGTTAGGCTGGTGATGGAGAAACTGGCATGGGCATTTTCAAAGGGATCCCTTGACCTCTGACCTCAATATATCTAAATGAAAATGGATTCTATGAGCACCCACAAGTCTTCCCTTTGAAAACATGCCTGCTTTATAGTAATCCCAGCTTTGCATTTGAAAATCTTTGCATACTGGGGTCCCTAAACAGTCCTGGAATTGCAGATACTGGGAATGACTGGAAAGCTGAGACACATACTAAAGTCTAGACTCACCCCTGAATATTAGAAGCAGCTGGCTAACCTTTACCATCACCCTAATCTATTTTTACTTTGCCAGAAGTTTACTTTGCTAGCAGCCAACGTGCTTCTTACAAGTGATCCTCACCTTGAGCCTTGTCTTCCTCTTGCTTGTCTTAAGTTGTCACCCTTCCATGTATTTATTTATGTCACCATCCTCAATCACTTCCTGCTGAAGTTTTCAGCATCACCATCACTATCATCATCATCAGAAGAAGACAAAAAAGAAGACGTTCATGTTTAGATCAAGTCATAACACATGAAACTTTAATATGTACTCAATATCCATCAACAGGTAATAATGCCTTCAAGTCGCCTGAAGATTTCAAGGTGTCCCTCTCTCTTCGCACCAACTACCTGTACGGACGCATCAAGAAGAGCCTCCCAGAAATGTACGCCTTCACTGTGTGTATGTGGCTCAAGTCCAGTGCCAGTCCGGGCATAGGAACCCCATTCTCTTACGGCGTGCCGGGCCAGGCCAATGAGATAGTCCTCATCGAATGGGGGAACAACCCCATTGAACTACTAGTTAATGATAAGGTAGGTGCATAATGAGAAACAGGCGCCTTGCTTCACAGTGTTCTTTAATTATTTGTTGAGCAACTCTGATTCTTTCACTCTGCCCTGATTAATTCCTGACGAGGGAAGATGTACTTGAGTCAGAAGCTCAGAATCATTTATTATTTGCCTGGCAACGCCGCTGGCTGCAGTGATGGTAGTAGACGCAGATCCGCAATGACACTCATTAAATGTAAAGACATCATGAATATGAATGTTCTGTCTCTGCTCTGTGGTGTGAGACGAGCAGATATTTAGTGTATGTATATGTGAGCACAATAACGACACAGCTGAGAGAAGACACACTGACCATCGGCTCTGAATATTTAATTTAGCTCCTTATAAACATTTAATATCATTGACCCACATTCCTCACACACCCAAGAATAACAGTAATTCATTAGAGAACTTGTGCTGCCATGTGTGCTCATTTGAAGGCCTGGTCTTCTTTGGTTCCTGTCAACTCTATATTGTTGCTTCAAAGTCACTTACTGCAAGCTTTCAGTCAACTAACTAAAATGTAATTAACATAACAGAAAGCAAAGTAGTGGAAACATACATGAATATTTTATGGAATTTAGTCTTGAAAGGAAAAGAATTGTAATTGTTATGTCGATGTAAGTGGTAGTACTAGACTTTCCTGTTTCCTGATGGCACACTTGCTTCTGTAGCTGTGTAATGTTGGTTTTGTGAGATTTTTTGGTGAAATGTTGCTGCACTGGAGAGGATTTTTTTTCCACTGTCTTGTTTACATTGGGCATTATTGGCACAGGCAGGTCTCCTCACAGCTTCCCCTTGACCATGCATTATACATGTGTTCGAGTCAGACAGATGAGAGAAAGATGGTGGGAGAAAGGGATGAGAGAACGAGAGAAAAACAGGGGGGAAAGGGGTAGGAAATTGAAAAGGCTGCAGAGTGTTGGAGGTGATAGAGGGCTGAAAAGAGAGCGAGGGGAGTAAAAGATCAGAAGATGCCAGGAAAAAGGAACGTTATGCTGCGCTAGAAATGGAGCAAGAAAAAGCAACAGAGAAAAAGAGAGCGAGATGGAGGAGAGTGAGATAAGACTTGTGAATATGATTAGCGTGTGTGCAGCAGCACATCCATGTGTTTAACTTGTTCACAGTGATAACAGGGTCCACTGGGGCTCATTGTTTATGCTGCTGATTTGGCTGCATACTGAAAGGGAAGCAGAAAGCTGCCTCAACACTATTGAGAAAGTGCACTGTCTGTATTTTGTATTTGCGGGTGGCTATGCAGAGAGGGCATTCCATTGTTATAAAGTAACATCTTTGACGTGTCATGATTTTTTCTCCAATGTTCAAATCAAGTAAGATGTGCTTATGGCATGTCTCGTTTTCCAATCAAATGTGGCTGCCAGGAGTTTAACCTGTAATGGATTCAACTTGTCTCGTACAACATTAGAATTGAGTTTATTTGGCAAGTGTGCAGTTTTTAGAAAATACTTCAATTCTAGGCAGATAATTGTCCTAATAAATACCATTCAAAATTCATTCATGTTTTCCTTTAACATCATGCATGCAAGATACTTTTTTTTTTTTCATCACTCTTGGTTGGAAGCAGATATTTTACTGGCTTCTTTTCTTTTTCTATTACCTTCTAAAAACATTTTACACGTATCTGAAGAACATTATCTACAGCCTTTTGGACCTTGGAACAAAATGTCCTTTGGACCATAAGTAAAATAAATAATAGGCTTTATTCACAGCAGACATTTAGACTTTTTATAGCAGGAGAAAGAATAGATGTACCTACTAACATGAGTTGTACATGTAACACAAAACTGAGTCAGACCTGTGCTATCCTGCCATGACAAGTCAAAAAGTCTGATTTGAAAAAGGCCTACACACAAATAATAATTTCTACTTTGTAATAACTGTAAACCTTTTATGTTTTAAGAATGAGATTTTCAGTCATTTAAATAAAGATGAGTGAGTCATGTATTCATGAAAGTATATGCCCTGTGGATATGGTGTTTTAATATTAAGCTCCTTGTGTACGATTCATCATGGCTGCCATATATTAAGAATTGCTGCAAGAATCGACAAGAATTTATTTTTCATTTTAAGATCCTGATTCTTTAAACAAACTACTCCAACTCAGAGAGACTTTATTATAAAGCTGCCAGTGTTCCCTGTAGTCCCAGTGGCATTAAGATGCCACCTGGCATCCATGACCGAGTCAATTGCATCTGTAATTGCAAGTGACTTGAATTTTATTTTCAGTATCTCCTCCCATCTTTTAAGGTTTACGTGCATCTGCGACAAGAAATGAGTGTGAAGTAATTTTGTAGTCTCATACGGAAAAGGCTAATGAGTTACACGCTCACAATCTCATGTGTTGCACTTTATCCTCAGAGGACTGTGATGTCATTGGTTGGTAAAACAACCAGTTGTTTTTCTTTGATCCATGAACAAAGCGTAAAAGCATAAGAGGACACTGTTTTGCTGTTAGCGACAAGACTGCTTTGAAGGATGTTCTATCCCTTGATGTCACCTGGGTAATCTAAATTTTATATGTCGTGCTGGCTCATCTGGAGAATTCTCTGCAGAGGGCTGTCTCTTTGAAGCCCTAGCCCTTCTAATTGCTGTCCTTGTTTCTAACGCGCCGCAATTAATCTTAAACCTCTCTTGACTTATCTCTCCTCCTCATACCCCCTGCTCCCTGCTCTTTGCTCCCTGCCCTCATGTCACTCACCTTCTGCTCTGAACTCCTAACCAGGTGGCCCAACTCCCGCTGTCAGTGAGTGACGGGCGCTGGCACCACATCTGCATCACCTGGACGACCAGAGACGGTTTCTGGGAGGCTTACCAGGATGGCGAGCGTCTGGGCACAGGGGACAACCTGGCCCCATGGCACCCAATTAAACCTGGAGGGGTGATCATCCTGGGCCAGGAGCAGGTGAGAGCTGGTAGAAAAGCTTAGGTGGTAAAGAACAGGTGTGTGTGTGTGTGTGTATTCTCCCCTGAGCTCAGTGCCGGAGGCGCAGAGCAGGGAGCAGGGGAGAGGAGGCAGAGAGGCTCTTCTCACGCTATTGTGCCCCTTTCAGCATTACCTCATTCATCAACCTCCAAACTGCACCTTTGTGCCCTTGGGAGTTGCGTTAGTGGGTTATTCTAGCAGTCAGTTCCATGACAGCACCATGTATATACTTAAGAAATGTACAGTGACGTATAAATAATGTCCACAGAGAGCCATTAACGCATTCTGCAGTAGTTTGGAGAATAAGGAGGGCTGTGTCTTATGTTTAAGTCATTCACACAAGGTGAGATTGCTGCATGTTGCACAATATTTGAGATTGCGCAACACTTCGACAGTTTGAAGTGGCAGCCGCTGAAAAATATTCAGACTCGTTTGGCAGTTTGATCAAACAGAATTGATTCATTTTAATTAAAGTCTGTTTACATCTTCTTTAGAAGTTAACTTGTAAACTTTCATTTTCTGTTTCCACATGAAGGACATCGTTGGAGGCCGTTTTGACGCCACCCAGGCCTTTGTGGGCGAGCTGAGCCAGTTCAACATGTGGGACCGAGTACTGCGGCCTGTGGACATCATGGGTCTGGCCAACTGCTCAGCTTACATGCCGGGCAACGTGGTTCCTTGGATCGATGCAAATGTGGAAGTGTTTGGTGGTGCTAGTAAAGCTGCTCTGGAGATCTGTGAAGATCGTGTTTTTGATTCTTAAAGGAACTGACGCAAGGAAATCGAGTATCGCCACTGGGATCGAGAAGCTAAGTATTCTGACTGTTGCTTCAGTCAAATCCCAAAGGAAAGGGTATAGTGCAACATTTTTTCAATTTATATACTCTGACTGCATAATCTCAGAGACTCTGTGTTTGTTGGACTTCACACACGTTCTCCATTCAATTTGAACCCTGAGGATACTTCAGGAGACTTCAAATTAGCCTGCTCGTCTGAAGAAGATATGCTGTTGCATCAGTCTACTGTAATGATACGACCTACTGTCACTCTGTGTTTTCTCTTCAGTAGATCAGCTTTCATTTGACACCTCTTTGAAAGTGGCTCTTTTTGGTTGCATTCCTTATACTGACAATGCTGCACTGTATTCGTAGTGAATGTGAGCTCAAACAGGCTTTGATGTGCTGTGGAACACTATTCCTGAGATGGTAGAGTACTAGACACCGTGAGCCTCCTCGTTGTTTAAAGAGCAATGAGGCCCCGAACCAGAAGCGAAATTAGGTGGATGCTCGTGAGTTCAAAGTGGACACGAACAACCCTCGCTGTTGATTATTTTGAGACAGCACAGCAGAATATTATGCATGAGCCTGAGCAGTGAATGGAAGTCAGTTCAGAAGTGACAGTGCATGCTTTCTGTCAATGCACAGAGTGCGTGTGGTGTGTCCAAACAAGGCAATGCGCCGTGCTGTCAACATTACGTAAGAGTGTGTGTGTTTATGTGCGTATGGCTTGTCTTGCGTGTAAAAAGACCAGAGATTATGAGGGAGGGAGGACATTTTCATTCTTGTAAATCTACGCTTAATACCTCTCTGCCCCTTGAGCAGCTGCCATATCCCAAACAGCTTTATGGACGGGCTGGCTCTGCTCAGGTTAATAGCGATGTCGGACAGCTGCCCAGGACTGGCGTATCGACAGAGCTGCGGACTGAGTGCCCAGTGAGGGCAGGGACTGGGCCTGACCTTCAAGAACAATCCTTAACTCCTCATCTGGGTAGTAATTATCTGTGTTTATGAATGAGTGTAGCAGTAAGCAGCCACTGCTGTAGAGGGCATGTCAAATGAGAGCAGTCCTCAATGGACATTATAAATGTCACTCAATCAGATGGACTTAGTTGCCTCTCACTGAACAAGACAAATAGTTTTGATCCATGGATATATATTTTTTAAAAACATAGGTGGATATTGGCACCGCTTAGTGGATAAAATTGACGCTTTTTGCAGCTTAATTTATGTTACTCCTTAATGTTGTGGTGGACATTTGTTTCAGTGCTGTTTGTTTTTCATAAATGAAATACTGATATCAAGCCTGGTGCTGGGGCCTCGTAAGGTAAAAGAGGCAACAAAGACATTAACTTTTCTTTTTTTCCCCTCCTTGTGGAATTTCATTACTGATTAGACACTAGGTCAAAAGCCATTAAAAAGCTTCTATCGACGTTATTAAAAAATGCAGTTGAATACCGAATAGAAAAAAAGCAGATATGATGCAGTAGGTTAGTGGACAGCACAGAATGTTATAAAAGTGAGGGTGCACACTTTTAACACATTTAGGACTTAAAACACATTTTAAGGACTTGTTGGATATGTCACCAACATGTTGTGATTGTTCCTCTTTTGAGTGTCTTTGTTAACAATGTTTCAATGTAAAATCAAGAGATGTCTTTCCTGTAGAAAGTGTATTTTTCATGCTTTTTCTGCTCATGATTTTTGTCCATTAGCAGCACATTATGTTAAAAAAAAAAAAGCAGAAGTTATAGAAATGCTTTGTTTATATGGTGAATGGCCTTTTTGTGAGAACCATATGTGCTTTTGCTTGTGGACAATTCAAACTTTTTGTCAGCTTTTAAAGCAGCTCACTAGCAGCACAGACAATGAGGGACACAAGAAAAAGAACAATGTGTTTGGTATCATTGTTTTAAAGTCACCTTCGTGTGCAATGTCTATTTAAGTTTCTGCCATGTGGTTGAATGTCCTTTTGCACCCAATAAAAGAATGAACAAGTTCCAGAGGTGTGACAATTAAAGCAGCAACTCAATAATGTGACGGAATAGCTAAACAGCTGTTGGAACAGTTGAAGCATGTTTGATTAAAATATCATTGCATTGCATTAGTGATGAAGTCAGAGGGGAGCGGAGCCAAGATCATGGTCAGGTCAGATATTTCTTAATTAGGAAACCATACTTTGATGGAGGATAACAAAGCTCACTACTTTGACATTTCTGGTGGCACCAATTTAAACAGAGATGTCTGTCCAGTTGGTATTGCCATATTATTTGTAGGACTAACCATAATACACATGGAAGGATACATCCTCTCATCTGGGCAATGTAATGCTGTCAACAGTGGAGAAATCCTCTGGATTGGCAGACGTCCAGGTGGAAATGAAAAAATCTGCCCATGCGGATTATAGAAGCTGCTACAATGTAGGACACTCTGAGCCTTCTCCATTCTCCACAACGCTTTCTCTTGATGTTACTGCCAGCGTGTTGGTGGTGACGCATCGGGGGGAGTTCCTGTTTCTTAATAGAACAACAATCTGAGGGCTCCCGATTGACAACCAACAATGCGGAATATGCGTGTGATGTTTTCTTTTTTTGGTGCATATTCTGTACTTCTAATTCTCATTGTATTGCTACTGCAAGATACACTGAACATCCCGATATCCTCAAATGTTGAGCACTAATCAATTATTAAAGAAAACATTTCAACTTGCGTTTAAATAAATGATAAATACGTTAGTTTGTGTAAATCGCATTGTAGATTCTTCTCGAAAGTCTGAAGAACAAAAGACTAATATAATAATATGTGTAATATGTGGTTCCTCGTCAAATCTTTTCACACTCACATGAAAGACAGAAAAGGGTGAAATTATACATCTGAAGAATTTCTGATTGTCATTTTTGCCACAGCTAGACAGCTCTTAAGGATATTACTTCCATGACTGCTGCTAAGTTGGTGCATGGAAGAAACTGCATCGAAAGCCTGTGTTTGAACCTATTCAACCTCCATTATATTATTAATACAAAAGAGGAAGAGGAGGGTGTGTGTCTGCTTGTGAAAGCCAACAAAAATGTTGCACAGGGGCTTATGACAAACTGATTGCTGCTGTCACATGCTAGCCCCTGCTTTAATTGCAGCTATTCTCCCTCAGGTTAGTTGAATATTGTGTATAAGACAAATTGACTTTCAGAAGGTGTTGCGTGGAACTAATGAAACCTAACTGAGAGGGGAATTGAACTGAAAAGCATCATCTTTGAGTGTTACAGATATCATCTGTCTCTCTGACAGTGGTATGATTCAACAGGATAAACACTGAGTGTGTTTGTGTGTCAGTGCATGTGGGTGTGTGACAGAAAGCAACACTTTGTCGGTGTGTTGGGTCTGAAGAGTAGATTTGTTCCAGTTATTGAGTTTTTTCTCCCATTGCGATGGAGTTTGAACGGGAGATTTCCAGCAAGCGAAATCCTGGAGGGTTTCATGAAGAAAAGATCACAGCAGCTGCTGCAGATCTAATAACAGTACATCACTAAAAACAGATTACCAATTTAGTGGTGTTGCCAGCTTGTCCATTTATCCATTACACATGACTGGGTAGAGTGACAGTGAATAATAGTTTGGCGCATTTTTATTAAAGCTTTTTTTTCACGTCTGTACACTCCTTGGGATCATGTGGCTTTTCCAACATTGCCCAAGGTTGTGTTAAAGTGTGTGACAAAGTCTGTAATTAAAATCAAATTACACTGAGTGTGTTTGATTGCCACTGGATACATGCACAGATCTGTAAGGGGGTGGAGGAGATGGGTGTGGGGGAATGGGGGTAGAATTATGGAGTGCCATTCTGCTCCTAGCACCCTCTCTCGCACATGGAGTCCCCACGGAGCCCCAAAGAAGGGAGCGCTGTAAAGAGTGTGAGAAAAACAAGTTTCAGAATTGAAACTAGAGAAGTCCTTTGGCTCAGTAATTAAAGCCTGATGGAAGAAAAGCCTGTGCAGAAGGCGCAGCTCTCTGAGGCTCTCTGTTTTCTTGGATGTCACAGACTATTAGTGAGACCCACAAACCCCCTTCAGCCTGTATCACTGCCTTTATAAAATTATGCATCAAAAATGTTATATTCTGTTCCCATCTCTGGTTCTGTCTGGCAGCCATTTTTAAATTAGGCACAGAAGTACTCTAACTTTTTGCCTATTTTTGGTTATTCAAGAAAATATGTTGCCCTCTCTAAAATAACATAATTTATTATTATTAGATTATCCTTACTTTGTATGTTCATTTTAAGGGGATTTCTTCTTAAGAAAAATAGAAGAAAAGAGAAGGTTAAACATCTCTACTTTACTTATTTATGCTCAGTAGGCAGAGAGGAGCAACTTAAATGTTGTTTTGGTGGAATAAGAATCAAAAGAATGGAGACGGAGATGACGTGAGGGAGGGATGAACAAATTAATCAGCACAGGAGAGGAAACAGCTGCTGTATGACAGTTTGTAATGCCACCTCTCTGAAGATCAAAGAGCCTGTGGATGCTAGATGAAGATATTCATTCATCTTTATTCTGTTAAGCAATTCACAGTGTTTTTCAAGCATAGTAGAAAATCATAAATCTGACACTTCTTAAAGCTCAGATTACAAAGCCCCATAGATTCACTGCCACACTTTGTTCTACATTTCCGGGGATGATATAATTTCTGCAGAGACCATTTACATTTGTAACAATAGGATTTCTACAGAAGAAACTGTAATGAATCTGGAAGAAAGGCTGTAATATAGAATGTTCAAATGCGAGAGCTTAAATCTCTCCCACAATCCCTTTAAATCATGCTTTCTAGCACCTGTGTGGACTGCAAATTTAACATAGCCCTCTTTGGTCTGTCTTGCAACGAGCAGTAAAGCTCTGCAGCTACAAATCTTCCATTGTGCATCACTGAAGGTGCTCTATTATTTTCTCCAAAACATCTGTGTGAAATAAAGGCGTTGACTGTAAAATGGCCTGTGTCTGTCTCTATTTTCTTGCCTGTTACAAAATTTACAGGGGAAATGTGTGAGCCTGTTGGGCCACCTCTTAGTCTCAAGGTCATT